TCTTTTTACTTTTTTATCTTAGTCATTGAACTTTGTAGATGCAGCATTGTGTTGCTACTAAACTTTGCTCACATGAAGCACATTCCAGGAGAGAACAGGGCTTGATACTACCTCTCCATGGCGGATGTTGTTTGGTGCATTTGCCGGTTTAGTCGGGCAGTCTTCTTCTTATCCTTTGGACATAGTTAGAAGAAGGATGCAAACCGGTCGCATCCAAGCGAGCGATGGGGTGTTGAAATCCCTCGTTACAATCTATAAAAATGGTGGGCTGCTATCAGTATTTTTATTGGTATTCATTTACATGCTGTTTAATTTAAACTTAGATTTTTGTTTCATTTTTCCAGCTCTTCATTATTATGAATAAGAATTATTAATTCAAATTTTCGTTTCAGAAGGCTTAAAACGTGGACTCTATAAAGGTCTTAGCATGAATTGGGTGAAAGGGCCAATTGCCGTTGGTGTCTCTTTCACAACCTATGAATATCTCAGACAGTTCTTTATTTCATAGTGATGTTAGGATCGTATAGAGTAGGTTAGGTTTAACATTAGTGTATCCCAATATGTTGCTCAATTTACTTATCTTTTAGATATGTCTCGTTTACGTTTTTAATGATCTTGAAATGAAGACTTTTTCATGGTCATGAAATGAAGGTCTTCATATGAAATTTCGTATCGATTTACCGAGTGATTTCCCTCCTACCTTCATTTTGCTCAGGCATTACATTGTGCTCATTGATGAAAAATGCCGTCATATAACTAGCACTTGTTTTGCGACTAGCATTTTCTCTCACAGTTCTTTCGTGACCCTACCATTTTAACCTGTCAGTATGTACTCGCTTGTAATTCTAGTCTTCAAGTGGCGTTCACTAGTGCTTGATCCGTTTGAACGATATTCCTTCGCCAACGTTTGCTCAATACATTGTAAATACTTCTATACATCGAATTTACCAGATTTTTATTGGGATTTATAAATAGTTGTGATTTAAATCGTTATGTGTTTTTATTGACACGACCTAAGGTGCATTTGTAAATGTCACTTGCAGATATAATAAAGCTAATTAGAATGATGTTTTTCTCCACAATTGCGGTGTTCAGATACCAGCCACATTACTTTCATATTTTTTATCTGAAGCTCGGCATAATGATTTCGAAGTGGGATCTAGTATCTTAAGTTGATCCCCACTTCACAGACTCGTCATTCATTGATTAGCGCCTACCATCACGTCCTCCAATTGTGTTTTCTTCATTAGCAAGGCTACTGTAGTCCTTGTTATAGTTTCCAATTTATGAAGTGTCGCATAATACATTTTTGATTTCGTACTGAATGATTTTATAGGCCTTCAACTATGAGCGTTTAGTATCATACATCAACAATGGGTAAATTAAATTCAGGTCAGTTTTCATCTTTTAATTCTTAAATAGAAATCTGCCTCCTCCAAGTTCAGAAATTGAGACTAACATTTTCAGAAATTCGTAAAGGTGATGTCGTGTGGGCTCCATATCGTAGGGACCCTCTGTGGCCCGCTCTGGTATGTTTTTATAGGTTATGTGGGTTGGACATTATGCTTTATATGCTTATGTAGCCCATTTCTTTAATGCATCTTTTCGCAATTAGTTTGTACATGAGAACAAAATGTCCTCAAATTCGTTTTTTTCATTTGTATCATTATGGATTGCCAATTTGAGTTTGTAGGCTTGAGGCGTTTGAAAGTTTGTCATTTTCATCGCAAGTTAATAGGTACGCAGAATCAGCTATCCCAAAAAAGTGACTTATAATTATTTTTCCCACTGGCCTCTGAATGCCTCGGGGAATCCTCGAAAAAGACTCCACTTCTTAGTGTCAGCGAAGTAATTTTTTGTATTTGAATTCGTAAATAATCCTATGTGTTTTTAAATTGGATAGGTTATGTATGTGAATGTATCAGCATTACTTTCAGCTGTTCGGCCTGCGCGATTGGATTTCCCCCAGTTGACGAACGTTACCCTCACATATGTACTAACTGATCCCATAGAAGGTCATTTGGCCGGCCATTTCATTATCTGAAACAAGCAGGCTATTGCGAGAGTGAGTTATCTCTGGTTTATGATTCATGTTAGGCCCACATTTTGTTCAGTTGGTTTAGTATGATGTCAGAATAGCTTTCTATTCAAGGGTTCCGCAGCGCCACAAATGAACAGCAAAGTCACTCCTAAGGGTGCAGAGTCTACAGCTGTTCGGAACACTGTCAAAACTTCCGCAAGCGACGCTGAAACGGTTATAGCTATAAATTAGTCCTTTGAAGCGTATGATAACCAATACTGTAACAAATTTCATGTTGTTGGCCGTGTTTTAAGAAGATTTCAGCTACGAATCTCTTCTATTCTGAATCAGAGTGAGTGATCAAATAGTTTGAACCTTAAGGAGCTATTGTGACATGGCATCATGCAAAAACCAGTTGTGACGAGGGAATACGTCTAGTTTTAGAAATGAGCAAGCAAATGGTAAGTATAATCATTGCCTTTATAGAGACGCACTATGAAAGAATTATCATTTTATCGTTTACGTGATACGTCGTATCAGACATGTATTAATTTATCGAGAAAGATTGTTAAGCATTTGATATCAGGCATGTTTCTATAATTTACTGGATCCCTATCGCGTGTATATAAAATGTTTTTTATTCATTCAAACTTCTTAATTCATTCGTCTAAGGGCTTGTGCAAAACAGAAACTAGACTACCTCTTTTTGTTGACCCTATAATAATAAATACATTTAAGATTTGAAGAATAACAATTATCGTATAATGTAGAACATAAAATCTTTCATACGAAATTTACAATTCTATTTCTTAATTACTTGAAATCATCAAAATTTTTCAATCCGATATTAAAACTACATAAGTCGTATTTCTTGCCTATCAGACAAAATGCTCATCTCGTCCGCTAAATGGAAAGTCTGTGATGATACTTCAATCTATCTAGCGAAACGCAAACCATTACCACCGTCTCCTCCGAGGACTTCAGCATTTGCTGCAGACTCGACAACGCACTCGGATACATCTCCATCACCCGATCTCCTTGCTCCCACCGTTAGTTTTTGTTTAGAAGTTGTTTTGGTATGGCATTTTTCGATAGCTATCGTCATCGCAACAGCATGTAATTTTAAAGATATTTCGTGAGGCAGTTTCAATTCTGGAGCGTGCCTGGACGACAGATTTAGTGCAAAATTATGTGACGCCACCTCGTTCGGTGTTACGCTTTGAAACACATACTGGAGGTCTTTTGACAGGTAAGGTCATCTCGATTTCACTTCCGGTCTGAGAAGCTCGACCATACTACTCGAAGCAAAAGCATTTTTTAGCTGCCTATATCGAAAATAAAAATTTAGACCATGAAACTGACAGTCTATTCGATCTAATCTTCTCTTGGGTTCGCGATCGTGAACATGATTCTTATTTCTTACCCGGTGTTCATCTTGTACTTGAGGTACTAATGCCTGAAGTAATAATCCAGGCTCTCGTACAGGTATTATCTTCAGTGCTCACACTGTTTAATTCCTATCATGACATTCTTCAGTTGTTCTTACTTTTAAGGCACGTGGTGTTTCACGAGAGGTAGCAGAGAGAATGGTGCGCTATACACCGTCCGAGAGTAGTTGCAGTAGTAGTACGAGTAACGAACTGAACTCTAATCATTCTTCAAAAAATAACGGGAACAACAGGTTAGTAAGTTTTTTTTCTCTTGTTTTTTTTTGTGTTGTGGAAATGCGGCCCTCCAACATTCCCAGCATAAGTAGTGAAGTGATCTGCACAAACTCTGAGGGATCGGTGCTTACTCGAACTCCTTGAGGTCAGACTCTACTACAACAATTGCGGACAGTAAATGCTGCTTGATCATGAGTCATTGAGTGGACAGATTATGTCGAAAAGTAGTACCGTAGTTTCGATATTTCCAGCAGTCAACTACCCCATTTCTGACAAGCTCAAGTGCTTAAGTTTAGAAATCGATCTCTATTGTCCGAAATTCCAAAACACTAGATACAAGAGATCCAACGGACAATTAGGCAGCATTCAGACTTCGCATGAAATCAGAGGATCAGCGAATTAAAAAGCCCACACGACGCGAAGCATGGTCCCAAAAGTTCGTGGAATTTTTTTAAATCAGGTTTGTCCCCCGACACCGCCGGTAGCCCCTTCCCAGCGTAAGCTACACACCTTCCGCTGTGTTCCCTCCCACTTGTGGGACCAGTTGGTACCAAGCTTGTCTAGGAGGTAGGAACACTTTGGC